TATATCCAAGGCACATAATGAAGGAATCAAATCTCTTATACCAACACCTCGGCGCCTGCTTTAGACCGTACAGAGATTTGTTCAACCTGCAAACCAAGTTCTTCTTTTCTTCTTTTTCAAAACCTTCAGGCTAGAGCATATAAATCTCTTCTTCAAGATTTCCATGAAGAAAAGCTGTTTTAACATCTAGATGCTCTAGATGTAAGTTCAATGTAGCACACATTGCCAAAACTACTCGAACTGTTGTTAGTCGAACCACAGGAGAAAATATTTCATTGAAATCAATACCTTCTTTTTGAGCATATCCTTTGACCACCAGTCTTGCACGATACCTCTCAACTTGATCTTCACCATTTCGCTTGATTTTGAAGACCCATTTGTTACAAATTGGCTTCCTTCCTTGTGGTAGTGGCACAAGGTCCCATGTATTATTTTTATGAAGGGCTTCAATTTCTTCTTGCATCGTCATCACCCACAGTGAAGCATTTGAGTTGTTTATTGCCTCCTGGTATGTTGATGGCTCACCGTCCTCTGTTAAAAGGCAGTATGCAATATTACCTTCTATAACATAATCTGAGTGCCAATTGGGACGTCTTCTTACACGATCTGATTGACGAGTTGTTGGTGCTTCAGAACTCTCTGGTTCTTGTTCATCATGTGCTGGTTCTGCTTCTGAAGAATCTCCTTGTTCAAACTCCTTTTCCACATTTATCTGTGTAGTCTCTGACTTTTCAGTGCTATAATTGTCTTCTTTTCTTTGTAGTTTATCCTCTACAAAGATAACATCCCTGTTGATGATCACTTTACGGGCAGTGAGATCCCACAAGCGATACCCCTTGACTCCATCAGCATACCCCAAGAATTTGCATTTCCTGGATTTTGGATCCAGCTTTGAGATTTCTTGGGAGTTGTACATCACGTACACAATACTTTCAAATATATGGAGGTTTGAATAATCAGCTGGTTTACCAGTCCACATCTCCATTGGTGTCTTCAGCTCTATTGTAGTTAATGGAGCTCGATTCACCAAATAATAAGTGGTATTGACTGCTTCTGCCCAGAATGATTTTTCTAGGCCTACGTCCCTCAACATTGCTCTTGTTCTTTCTAACAAGGTTCTGTTCATCCGCTCTGCCACTCCATTTTGTTGAGGAGTGTTTGCCACTGTGAACTGTCTTTTGATGCCTTCTTTCATGCAAAAGTCATCAAATTCTTTGCTTGTGTATTCTCCTCCATTATTTGTTCTGAAACACTTGATCTTATTTCCAGAATCAAGTTCCACCCGCACTTTGAAGATTTTGAAAGTTGAAAACACATCTGACTTCTTCTTAATAGGATACACCCAACATCTCCTAGAGTAGTCATCAATAAATGAGACAAAGTATTTTGCTCCACCTAGGGATGTAACTGGTGCTTGCCATACGTCAGAATGAACCAATTCTAGAACATTTTTACCTCTAGAATTTGACGTGTTGAATTTCAACCGGTGCTGCTTACTTGTTATACAATGCTCACACAAAGGAAGTGATATCTTTGTTAAGCCGAGAAGTAGATTTTGTTCCACAAGGACTTTCATTCCTTGTTCTGACATGTGTCCAAGTTTCTGATGCCATAGCATTGCAGAATCTGAACTACATGAGGAAACAGAGGCTTCTGCTTCTAGCAAAGTCTCTCCCTTCAGCATGTACAAGTTTGCTGCTATCTTTTCGCCTTTCAGCACCACAAGCGCTCCACGTAACACCTTCATGATTCCTTTCCGTGTTTCAATCTTGCTTGCATTATTATCCAACAATCTGTAGGATAATAAATTTTTCTTTAGGCCTTTCACGTGCCGCACATCTCGAATAACTTTAATTGTTCCATCATACATCTTCAATTTGATGGTTCTCACGCCAATGATCTCTAAGGCATGATCATTGCAACTATACACAGATCCTCCTGAGACAGGTTTATACTGATGGAACCATTCTCTTCTTGAGGTCATATGATATGTTGCTCCTGAATCAATGAGCCATATATCTGCAAATCTTTTTCTTCCTTCCACGGTGGTTAACGCTTCACAGCATAGTGCATCTCCATCATCTGAAGTGTTTGCGGTATTGCCTTGTGGATTGCAGTTTTTATTTAGACTCCAACAATCATTCTTCAAGTGACCCTTCTTTCCACAGTTGTAGCACTTTAAATTCTTCTTGCTCATCGACTTTGATCTACCATGTTTGTGACTGCTGCTTTGGCCACGTTCTGTTGATCTCCCTCTCGTCGTTGTCAACACTTCTGCTTGTTGCATATTTATTTTTCTGTCTTCCTTGTTCTTGCGCCGATTTTCTTCTTGTAGAACAGCAGCTGCAATGTCATCGAAGACTAGACTGGTGACATTATTGTTTGTCAAGTTGATGATGAGTTGATCATACGAATCCGGTAGACTTTGAAGTAGAAGTTCATTACGTTCTTGTTCTACTATTTTACAGCTTAAGGATGTAAGCTGAGAAAATAAAGTGTTCAGTGTGTTTAAGTGCTCCGTCACTGAAGTAGATTCTGACATCCGAAGAGTGTACAATTTCCTCTTAAGGAAAATTTTATTGTGCAACGATGTGGCCTTGTACAATTTGGTGAGATGATCCCATATCTCCTTAGTTGTCTTCTTTTCCTCGATGCTTGAAAATACTTCATCTGCTAATGCTAGATGAAAGTTTGCCATAGCATTTCCGTCCATCTCGTTCTATTTGTTGTCATCTGCGAAATCCATCGGCCTTTCATTGATAGCCGCTAGACACCCGTCTTTGCACAGGATGGCCTTCATCTTCAATTTCCACAGTGAGAAATTTCTCCCATTGAATTTTTCAATATCAAATTTTGTTGCCATAGCTTCTATTATTGATAGCTCCCACTATTTCACTATCGTGAATAGTTCTCTAGAACCTCAAAGAATGGGTAATACCTTCTTATTTTCTTATGTTGGAAGATCCACCTTTTGGTGGCAACCAAAAAGACAATAAGCAGATATTACACACTCAAATCTGGCTCTGATACCAATTGTTGCGGAAGACGGCTATCGGATAGAGAAAAATCGCAACTGATAATTTGAGAAAATAAAAATGAAGATAAAAAGAGACACAAAATTTACGTGGAAAACCCCTAAATAAAATAGGGTAAAAACCACAGGCAACGGTAGAAGAATTTCACTATGAGAAAATAGAAATTATAACCTCTCTCGATCTACCAAGGAGAAAATAATAATAATTCTCTCTCGATAAAAAGGAGAAAACAACTCTCAAGAAACTCTCTAAATTCTCTCTAGTATTTGAAGAAAGCTAGAATGCTTTGGGATGATTTTGAAGCTAAATGAGCTAGGGTATTTATAGTTAAATTTTAAGGACTAATCTTGTAAATACCTTAAAGTCTAATGACTAAAATTAATTTTTCCATTCAAAATATTCAACACCTAATTCATGCCTACCATTCTCTTTTTCAAAGTTTTAGGTGGAATTGATTTTTTTTTCAATTCCAACTTTTGGTGGAAATTTATCAATTTTCAACAATTCTTTCACAAATAAAAAAGAAGCATTTAAATCTGGTTAAGAAAACGAAACATTTTCCTATCAAGCAAATAACAAGGTAAAATGAGAGATAGCTATAAACTTTGCAAAAAAAAAAAGGAAAGGAAAATGAACGACCCATTTCTTTCAATATAGTGTTTCCATCTTTAGTGAGCTTGATATCGGCAGCTCCACCGACAAGCATTTTGATGGTGCCTTTGGGACCCATATTTGTTTTGAGAACATCAGATGTCTTTGTAATTTAAAGATGGAAATCTAATCTTAATCCGACGGGTTATGACCCGACCCATTTGGGTTGAATTTTAAAAAAATCGGGTTTGAGTCGAATTTTTTAAAGGGTAAGATCGGGTCGGGTGAAAAAACTCCAACCCGATATGGTCCGAGAATAATAATGTAATTTCCTTAAATTTTTTATTATTTTTAAATTAAGTCATTATTTTATATCGGGTCTGGTCGAAGGCAGGTGAAATGTATATATTTTTTGGGTCGAGTCGGGTCGGTGGAGTGTATAAAATTTTCGGGTCGGGTTGACCGAAAACTCGATCATAACCCGACCCGTTGCCATCTCTAATATATTTAAAAAAATCAATGTGGTCCACCAACTCATAAAATAAACTCAATGGGGGTCTTTTGATCAATGTTTTTCATCATTGACCATTACGATACTGACGTGGAGATCCAGGATGTTGACATGATAGTTTACGATGGCTGATAACATGGTAAATAACATGATAGATGAGCTAATGTGGACCGTAAAGATTATCACGTCAACATCGTATATCGTCATATCAACATCGTAAACTATTACGTCTACATCGTAACGATTAACGAAAAAAAATATTGATAAAAAAATCACATTATAAGTTAAAAAAATGATTATCACATTAATATTTTTAAAATACTTATACTACCGACGTATTTTTACGTAAACTATATAATGTAGTAAAATAACTTTTAGATCCTAATACAATTTACTCTCTTAAGATTTAAATCTAATTCTATCATGTGACAATTCCAGCCCTCCGTTCGACGCGCGTCAGCAGAAACTATGGCCGAACTTTTTTTATTTCCTTTTCCGTCAAAATAGATTATTTTCCATTTTACTTGTAAACAACAAAAACAAACTACGTTTATTTCAGTTACTTATCTGCCATGAATTCTTCCAGATAAGCATCGTCTAATCCATATTACCAGTAAACATACCTCCCTTCATTTTCCAGGAAAATGAATGATTTGGGTCGGATCTAAAATTGGTAAAGGCTTAATTTTTATATGACCTTAACACAGATAATTTATTGGACAGCTAAAGGCAAGGTGTTTAGACAATTTTTTTCTATTTTGAGGTGTGTTTTATGTTTTTCTCGTTTTGATTTGGTTTCTCTAGGTTGATGATCTGCTCGTCGAAATAGAGTGATTATCATAATAACTATAGAAGCTCAAATTCAAAACGTTTTCTTTTTCTTTTTCATTTTGTTAAGTATTTCCGATTTCACTGGAACCATTGCAAACCCAGAGAGACGATTTCAGGGATTTGAATCCTTCAGAATATAACTTCTTAAAGGAATGGCGGGGGAACCGTTACCGTGGGGCGTAAGAGACCTCATCAACGAGCTCTTCTTCTCCTTACAATCGCTGAGGAGCCTGCTGCTGCTTCTTAACGCCGTCGTTTTTCTGTTCCTTTTCCCGTTCCGGGTACGGAAACGCGCCTCCGTGATGAGTTCCGAGGAGAAAGTGGGGAGGGATGAAAAGCAAGAGAGCGGGAGGAAAGGTTCGGCGGCGCCTGTGGTGAAGGTCCCGGCGGAGAGGCGTTTGCTGGCGATCCGGAGGGTGGTTCAGGACGAACCTAACGTTATCAGGGAGTTCTCGTTGTTTTCCGGTGCAAGAGGTGATACGTTATTCATCCAGACATGGTCTCCGGCTTCGGTCAAAATCAGGTCAGATTTTGATGAATTTTTTGGGTAAAATAATCACTCAAAGCAGATCATTTTTATAAAAAAAAAAGTTTTACTTAATCATCCAATTATAATATTCTTACAAATAAGTCACTATCTCATTAAATATTATCCAAAATATTAACATGACATGATATATTAATAATTTTACTCTTCAAAATTTATGTATTCTGTAAATTTGATCTAATTCAAAATAATTTAATAAATTTAAACATTCATGTTTATAAATTTTCTTAATTTAGTATTTATTATTTGTTTTTCTCCCAAAAGGATCATATTATTTTCTTGTCACTTTCTTAGTATTATATTTAATATCATTGTTTTGATTCAATGGATTTACTTAATTTGATTGTATCATAAAAATGGCTAAATCAATGGCATTTTTTTAAATATATAAAGATTAGATTTATTAAATTATTTTAAAATTTAAAATTGAACTAAATTGATGAAATGTCTAAACCTTAAGGGTTAATACTATTATTATGCCAAACCACATTAAATATATACTTTATCATGTTATCTATAATTTGGCGCATAAAATCCGATTCAATAATTTCTCTATATAGTCCCATTTAATTTGCTTCATGCGACAGTCTTTCTACAATCTCTACCCTCCTTTTAATTTACAATTCCCTCATTCTTGAATCATACATTCTGTTATTGATTTATTTTTCCCAGTTAAACTTTCTCACTTTATTCATTTTGATACTGATGTTATCTGTGTGTGTTTCCAGGGGAGTAGTTTTTGTCATGCATGGCTTGAATGAACACAGGTTTGCTATTTGGATTTAATGCCTTGTTAGAGATCATCTTCACTTTATTCCATTTTTTTTTTTGGTTTTGAATCTTTCGGTTAATGTGTTTGCTCTTTTTTCCCTCTCACAACAGTAGCAGATACAATGATTTTGCGGAGAGGCTTAACGCTGAAGGATTCAAGGTCTACGCAATGGATTGGATTGGTAAGTTTCTGTTTCAATCTATGGTTCATAGTTTCATGGTTAAGCTAATTTGCTGGTAATATCCTGTAGGACATGGTGGAAGTGATGGGCTACACGGATATGTCCATTCTCTTGATTATGCTGTTGCCGACATGGTAAGTATGTTCAAAGGTTTAGAAGCAACATTTATCATTGAAGTAAATATTGAAAGTAGCATCTCCATTTATATATCTTCCCAACTTGTTTCAGAAGTTGTTGCTTCAAAGGATTTTATCTGAAAATACTGGTCTTCCATGCTTCTGCTTTGGTCATTCCACGGGTGGCGCACTCGTCCTTAAAGTAAGGCCAACAATTGTGGTCGATTAGTATTTGGGATCATGTACCGACATTGAATCTGTTGCGTTAACTGTAGGCAGCACTTGATCCGGAGGTTGAAGACAAAGTAGCAGGCATCATATTGACTTCCCCAGCTGTGGGTGTTCAGCCATCTCATCCCATCTTTGTGGTAAGAGCTTCCTTGTTCATATCATTCTTCTCTTCTTCCTGCATTGCGAATGAAATATCATTTCATATCTATTTCCATGTCAGGTACTTGCCCCTATCATATCATATCTATTTCCGAGGTTCCAAGTCAGTATTGCGAATAAAAGCGGGAAGCCGGTTTCAAGGGACCCGGCGGCACTGGTGGCTAAGTATTCGGATCCACTGGTGTATACCGGACCCCTCCGGGTAAGAACCGGCTATGAAATTCTTAGAATCACAACCTACTTGCAGGAGAATATGAGCAGATTGAAAGTTCCTTTCCTAGTTCTCCACGGCCTGGACGATACCGTGACCGATCCTAAAGCTTCTCAGAAACTGTACGATGAGGCCTCAACCGACAAAACCATCAAATTATTCGAGGGTCTCTTACATGATCTCCTCATCGAACCTGAACGACAAGCTATAATGGATGACGTGATCCAGTGGTTGAATTTTAGAGTATAAAAGGAGTACCTTGAAAAGGATAAAATTAGAACACAACTCTCCCAAGTTTTGCTGGTATAAGGTTTCCAGTGAAGTAGATGACATTAATTTGTATGTCCAAATAAAACTCACCACTTCAATGTCGGAACCTCACAGTTTTTCTTTTTATTTACTTGATAACATCTTGTCATTGATAGGCCAGACTGATTCACCCTGGTTCCTGAAGCTCTGTACATGATGGTCTCGGTTACACGGTGTAAATGGAAATATATTATATAGCTCAAAGTTTGCATCGATTTGTTGTTTTATATTAATTCAAGTGCACTATGTTTAAGAGACGCCATTGTTATCATATTTCAAAGCTCTAAAACTAGACAGCAAATGAGGCGGCCGACGACATTTATATTGTAACTATAGAGAAGTAGCTTCTTTTATGCCTTTGTTTCTAAATATCAACTGCCTGCAAGTTTCATCTAGTGCTGATAATGGCTGAATCTTTTCACCATGCAGCTCCGGCATGTGAAATGATTCGGGAGGCCGATACAAATGGTGACAAGCACTATCTATTCAAAGATAACTCTATCATTTGACATAAGATCTCTAGAATTAACAATAATTCATTTATCACCGATATCAATTAGTTGGTACTTCAATTTTATTATTTTCACGGTTCCTTTTATAAAGCCCAATACTTTTGATGTTTTAGCTTTCACTTTATGGAATTGCCCACCTCAACTTCTCTTTTTGGATTTAAAGACGTCACATGGCTTGTTTCTTGAGCCGTCACCTTTCAACTTTGGGGGAAATTTCTAAAGGTTTTTTTTTTTAAAGATTCCCACTTCATCATTATAGGTAGGGTTTATTGTCGAAAGCTCTTTAACATCTACTTCATTTTCGTATATGATTTTTGATTTAATCATGAATTCCGTCCTTCAAATTGTTTGATCATTTTCGTACGAGTAATTTAAATAATTTGATCTAATAAATATCAATGGTTCATATCCATAATTGTTGCATATTACTAGTATACATACAAACTTGAAAATGCATCTTCGTCGTCGTTTTTAAAGTCCTAACAATGATTCCTTTATCATTTTCGTATATGATTTTTGATTTAATCATGAATTTCGTCCTTCAATTGTTTGATAATTTTCGTATGAGTAATTTAAATAATTTGATCTAATAAATATCAATGGTTCATATCCATAATTGTTACATATTACTAGTATACATACAAACTTGAAAATGCATCTTCAACGTCATTTTTAAAATCCTAACAATAATTCCTTTATCATTTTCGTATATGATTTTTGATTTAATCATGAATTTCGTCCTTCAATTGTTTGATCATTTTCGTACGAGTAATTTAAATAATTTGATCTAATAAATATCAATGGTTCATAGCCATAATTGTTACATATTACTAGTATACATACAAACTTGAAAATGCATCTTCAACGTCATTTTTAAAGGCCTAACAATAATTCCTTTATCATTTTCGTATATGATTTTTGATTTAATCATGAATTCCGTCCTTCAATTGTTTGATCATTTTCGTATGAGTAATTTAAATATTTGATCTAATAAATATCAATGGTTCATATCCATAATTGTTACATATTACTAGTATACATACAAACTTGAAAATGCATATTCAACGTCGTTTTTAGAGTCTTAACAATAATTCCTTTATCATTTTTGTATATGATTTTTTATTTAATCATGAATTCCGTCCTTCAATTGTTTGATCATTTTCGTATGAGTAATTTAAATAATTTGATCTAATAAATATCAATGGTTCATATCCATAATTGTTACATATTACTAGTATACATATAAACTTGAAAATGCATCTTCAACGTCGTTTTTAAAGTCATAACAAGCCGGATAAACATGCCAAAACCAGCAAAGCATTTGTCCCTTAATAGAAAGGCTTTTCTCTCGCAAATAACACCTCTGTTTGTCTTTTAAGACTCTTTCCATTGTGTTTTGTTCACCACTAAAAAAAATCTTTCTTTTTGGTTACTTTTTACTTCTTGTTCTCTTCCTCGGTGTTTGTTCGCCATGCAAGGCATGGAAATTATGTGCTTCGAATCCCTTGCAAACCCAATGGGGAGGGTGACGTGCCCCAGCAACAACAGACCTATGCACCCACAGTTGAAGTTATCACACACTTTTTAGGTGTCTGTGTGAGATTGATACTATATAAATCCACTACCATATTTAAGATCTCATGGAGGCACGCATATGCATGGAGACTGAGAAGGGTCCTCTACCCAGAATATAGTATACGTTACAACCCAAAAAGATGAAAGAAAAGAAACAACATCCTTGTCTGCTATCACTACATGCATGATCTTACTTTAAGCACCCATTATTTTATTTATGTATATTTATTTTAGGTATATAGTGTTTATCACAATTACATCAGAATATTCGATTACAATAAATTAGATGAATTGATCGTACAGGACCTATGAACACTTATACCCTAAACCTTGTAAAATAATATATAAAGTTGTCTACCCAAGCAAGTCATGAGATATTAAGAAGAAGAATGAGAAATGAAAAAGGGCAGAAATAAGGCTGCCAAGCTGGGTGGTAAGGTAAAGGAATTTGGGGATGATTGGATTTGGATTCGTAAACACATACCACGTCGCAGGTGAACGTGGTTTGCAATCATATTGCCCATTGATTCCACCATTCCTTGTAATGTAACTTTTTCTCCAAATTAAACAATTAACATGTAAGGTAGGGGTCCTACTACTTAACATATTTGTTGCATGCAAAGCTACAAAAAATTTTTTTTGAATGAATTATGCCTTGTTTCTCTCTATCTGATCTCTGCTACTTGGGATCAATTTTGAAGCATTTTGATTGGGTGTTGAAACAAAGCTTTTATTAAGGAGAGGACACTAATACAATCTACATCAGCACTGGGGTGAGCGTTCGATCGAGTCAAGTCGAGTCAAAAATTTTTTAGTTATTCGAGTTGATGAGTCATATTTTACAACTCGAGTTTACTTGAAATTTTTTTCAATCGAGTCAAGTTGATTTTTCGAGTTTCTATTTAAATTTAATTGTAAATATTTATAATATTATAATATTATTTTATTCTAATTTAAGTGACTTTCTATAACCATACACACAATACAAATATATCTCTTTATATTTTTTTCATATGTGATATACATATATCATACAAATTTCAAGAACTTGAATCAAACTTGAAAACAAATCTTACCAAGGTAACCCATAAATAAAACAATGGTATTGTTTTGAAATTCTACCGATGATATACCACAAAGGGTTGTTTTGATAATATTCTAAAGTTGATTAGTGGATTGTTTGTTTGTATCCTGCATCTGATGTGATTTGGTTAAATGAAAAGCTGAAGTTATTTTGGCTTTTCTGCTTGGACTCACTACAGCGTAAGTCATTTCCTTGAAGTCTTCAACTGCTAGCACGCAGCATCACTTGAATATAGCCCACGAAAACTTCGATTAGTATTACAAGTCAAAGCGTGAGAGGAAGAGGAAGAATGTGATGGTTCTTTTTCCAAGTGATATGTTAAAAAAAGCTCCATGTTTTTCAGTGCCATAGTTTTTAATGACAGACAACTCTCAGTCGTCGTTCTCAACGTCTTCATTTTATTCGTTCGTTCGCTTTCACATATGCATCAGAGTGAGGCCCAATAGGGGAATTAAGAAGAAGAAGCAAATGCATTTTTCTCTTTCTTTCTGCAGAGGGCCACCATTTATATATGGCTTTTCGGCTCAGATCAGTCATGTTTGAAATTTGTTGTCATCCTTTTCCCCTTCTCAACAACAACAACAACAAAAGGCCGAACGAACGGCAAAATCTAAAGCTGGGAACTTTTACGTGACATTTTCTTAACTAATGTGCTTCTAGTCCTATTTTTCCTTCATGTTTCTACCTAGGGTTGTAAATGAGACGACATATATCGCGAGCTACTTGAAATTAACTCGGTCAAAGCTTGATAAATTCTCGACTCGAATTCTTAACGAGACGAAAATAACTACTTAATACTCGACCCGAAAAACTCGTGAGCAGCTCGAAAATATAATATATTAAGATTTTATTTTTTAAATAAATTATTAATAATATTAACATTTATGTGTTGATTTTTTTAAAAAATATAATATAAGGTTTTAATGTATTTAAGGTTTAGGTTCGAGTTTGAGTTGAGGCTTTAATCAGGTTAAGTTTAAGATTTTTTTTCTTTTCGATCTTTTACGAGTTTCAGTTCATGATTTTGAGTTTGAGTCGAACTTAAAAATTTTAGGCTGACGAGTTTTCGAGTCGAGTAGAGCTTAGTAATACTCGAGCTCTACTCGACTCTTTTAGAGCCCTATTTCTACCTACATCTATCTTTTCTTCTTTACCTCACCCCTACCAAACAAACAGTAAATAAATACACTTTTTTGTCTAACTTGGTCCAAGTCCCTTTACTCTCTGAAACTTTTGAAAGTTAATCCCCTATTTTAATTCCAATAATTGAAATACTCTTGTTTAGCTTTTAAAACCAGACCTATTAATTCAACATATTCGAATTTCGCTGAGGGTTTAAATTCCTGAAATGAGAAGTAGGGGGGCTAAATTTTAAAAGTTTGAAGGGGGCAGAATTAAACCTGTATCTTTACTAGTGATTGAATGACGTGCGATACACGGAAGGAGCTTAGCACATGAAGTAATAATCAGAGTTGTTTCAACTTGGTTGTTTGTTCTCTTTTTTGGTGAAGCTAGCTTAATGAGCAAGCGATAGTTTGCCAGAAAATGAATGGTTAAATTGTTACATAATGGCAATGGCATGCGGGTATGTATTTGCATGCTTCAATGTCTAATTATAAAATCGACAAATTTAATATGATTACTGTTGGCTGTAAATGCGATTCAATCAGATTTGATGTTTATGTTGGCCCAACAAGTATTCCTCTGTAGGCCTTCGGATCTTCATTACTCATTCACCGTTTATATTGGGTCTGTTTCTTTGAGGAGAAATTAATTACGGAATTGGTTTTTCTTGAAATTTCGTGTTTGTTTCATGTAATTCGTTTTTTGAAAAATGTTTTTTAGTATTTGGTTGGAGTAAAACTGGTTGGTCAACGTAAAACATTTTCCTGGTCAACATAATTTTATTTGTGTTTTCTGGAAAATGATTTACGGTCTAATTTTTCGTAAGTCATTTTTCGAACTTTTCACTTTAAAGAATAAATACTCAAAATAATTTTATTTATGAATTTAATATTAATAAAATATTTTAATATCATTTTAA